CGTGTTATTTACTGCATATGATTAATTATTAAATTGATAAATTTCTGATGATATTATAGAGTGTCTATGATTATTGTAGTTATAATTTTCTGATGTTATTATTTACTATTAGTGATTATATTTGTTTCAATTAAATTTTTGATCTTGTTATTTACTGTGTATGATTATTTTTGCATTGATAATTTTCTGATGGTATTATTTCCTGTTTATGACTATATTCATATTATTTAAATTTTAGTGGTGTCCACTTCTATGTCTATGTGTGCATAGATTAATTCGTCGTAGTGTTCTTATTGAATTTTAAATATACTGAACAAGTAAGTTTAGTTTAATGTTTTAAGTTTTATTTTGAATTGATGTAACGTGAAAAGCCAGAAATGAAATTATCGAAAAGAATACATATAGGACCGTAAAAGATTTACCATAGGGATGTAATGGGAAATATAGGGAACCATTTGAAAAAACTGTTTTCAAAGGTTTTTTGTAATAAATATTATCGAGAAGGAAACAGTCTATTTTGTTTGTTTCTTGAACTTCAAATGCCCGTAGCTGTTGAACATAGGCTTTAACTATGTACATGGCACAGATGAACACACAGTTTTGTCCATCATAAAATATCCATTTGATCCTCCCAACAGCTGGTAACGAAGGCCAATGTTCTTTCGAAAGATTTAGAATTGACTTCTGTGAGTATTTGTACCCGTTTATGATCAATACTTTTAGAGTCGAACGTGGTTTAAAGGGCAAATTGGACATATTCGATATTACAAATTGTATTTGTCCATCGGAAATTGGTTGGTGATTATCAAACCGGGGAATAGGGAGCATTCGAAAGAGCAGTATGTGAGAGTGACCAATTTTGAGAATGATCGTTGACGGAAAGCCACAATTCATGTCTTCGAGCCAACATTAATGAAGGATTCTTCAAATTCCGAACTTTGTTGCCCTTGAAAAACTGGTGTTTTCTTTCTGTTGCTAAACATGAAGTATAAGGCAAAGGTCCAAAATCTTTCATTATTGTTGGAAAATGCGTCATGAAATGAAACTTGAATTTCATTTTGCCCGGATATAGTTTTCTAAATTCATCATTGTGTTTTTTAATGAAATAACCCAATTGAATATGCGTATTTGCATTGATCGTATTTGCAAAGCATAATGATAAAATGTCCACGCAAATTAAAACTGCTTTGTATTGAGGAAAATCCGATGAATTCAGCAGTTTTTTCAGAATGAAGGGTAAATTAAAAAATAAATGAAATGTTTGCATTGATGTAAGTGGCATTCCCAAATTGTTTTGCTTTTTTAGCTCATTTGCTGTTATGTCGAGGTGTGGTTTTGAGCTGAGTTCGGTTTCATTATACGGAAACTGATTAACTTCTCGACAAAATTGATCCAACGTAAAGTAGCCTTTTGTTGCACAGAAGTCCAGGAATGCGTTTAGATGATTAGGAAGCACACCCTGAAAAATAAGACACATAATGCTACTTCTAGGCACGTTTTAGGAATAAAAATATCTCATTCAATAATTAACCATCTCGTTTTTTTAAAGAAACAACTTATTTTATGAATTAGGAAAAATTTCAAGTCATTTTTTTACCTCTAACAGAATGTGCATCACATCGTAGGGACATTGACGTGTAACATCGTACACCGCATCAAATAAACTTCTATTATTTATTCCGTATCTTTTTGATAAATTGTCGNTCTAAATTCATCATTGTGTTTTTTAATGAAATAACCCAATTGAATATGCGTATTTGCATTGATCGTATTTGCAAAGCATAATGATAAAATGTCCACGCAAATTAAAACTGCTTTGTATTGGGGAAAATCCGATGAATTCAGCAGTTGTTTCAGAATGAAGGGTAAATTAAAAAATAAATGAAATGTTTGCATTGATGTAAGTGGCATTTCCAAATTGTTTTGCTTTTTTAGCTCATTTGCTGTTATCTCGAGGTGTGGTTTTGAGCTGAGTTCGGTTTCATTATACGGAAACTGATTAACTTCTCGACAAAATTCATCCAACGTAAAGTAGCCTTTTGTTGCACAGAAGTCCAGGAATGCGTTTAGATGATTAGGAAGCACACCCTGAAAAATAAGACACATAATGTTACTTCTAGGCACGTTTTAGGAATAAAAATATCTCATTCAATAATTAATCATCTCGTTTCTTTAAAGAATCAACTTATTTTATGAATTAGGAAAACTTTCAAGTCATTTTTTACCTCTAACAGAGTGTGCATCACATCGTAGGAACATTGACGTGTAGCATCGTACACCGCATCAAATAAACTTCTATTATTTATTCCGTATCTTTTTGATAAATTGTCGTACGATTTTGCATTGCTTTTGACAAGCTCCAAGCTGGTACAACTAATATATAGGTGACAGAATATTTTAAGATAAGCAAAGAATAATTTCCAACTGACCGGCCTCTATATTCACTTAGAGGAATAGTTGAAAAATCATAACAAATATCCTCTTCCAGGTGATTATGTTCAATGTCACACAGATGGCAAAAATGAGTTGCTGATACGCTTTCCTTAAATCCATTTAAGGACATTTGAGCTGGATAATCACCAAGTGATATGAATAAACCACCAAAATAGGTGACATCGTTACCATTTATATTAATAGTGATACCTAAATGCGATTATATGGAAAGATACTTTATTTAAGTATTTAGTGATTACCCTACCAGTAGTAGAAAGCGTATTCATGCCCACAAGAAAGTCATCAATAGTATGACACAACGAATTGTACTTTCGCGCCCATTTTGGACATGCTGCTATGAGTCGTTTCGCCGATTGTTTTGAGCGTTTTTCTCTAGAAACATTCAGCAAGGACCAGTAGAAGAAAAAAATAGAATGAGCACAATGAGATATGGGATTAGTTATTGTTAAATCGTCAGAATTTATTTCAATTTTGAGATAAGTTGAATTTCGAAAATTTGGGTCATTTCTTGCAAAAGCACCATCGTCAAAATCTTGGATACTGTCAGGATTATAATCAGGTGTTGCACGTTGTAGATCAGCTTGAACTTCCGGCAGACGAAGATATTTTTCAAGACTGCTTAAAAAAGGCACGAATGAATACTTGACTTTCTTAATTTCTTTGTTTTTTGTGATCGTCTGTAAATAAGAGGAAGAAAGCATATGAGTTTTTATTATTTTCAATTTTCTTTAGTCAATGATAAAATATTTTTATTGTGAAACTAGACAGTTATCGATATATTATTCCTTACGATATACCTGATATGATCGACTGACAGGTTCAATGTATTGAAAATACTTGTAGGCTTTTTTCTTTCGAATGTGCGTTGATTTGAGTGGTTCTATACAGGCAGCTAGAGCATTGATATTCTATAATTATAAAGATGTAGAATCCATGAGCTCAATTATGTTCAAGTTGCAAACCAGATTATTCATTGAAATATGAAGAAAAATTTCTGTGAGACTTGTAGCAACATACTCTATAGCCGCCTCCGATGTGTAGAAAACGGTTTGAAGAGTTAGCAACATGTATAACACACGCTTTTTGAATACTTTAAGTTGTTCTTCTTCGCTTAAACTTTCCGCATCGCTGCTATTATTAATTGATTTATTTTCGAGATTTTCATCATCTTGATCATTAGTTTCTAGTTTACAATCCATATTTGAATATTCATCTTGACTAGATGGGTTTGGTAATTCGCTATCAAGATTTCTTTCTTTCTCATCTTGTTGCTTGTCTTGACTAGGTACTTCGTTGTTTTCGTTATGAAATCGGTACCAACTAGAAATGAGTGATAAATAAATTTTTAACAATAGAATCAAGAAAGAAAATTAAAAAATCTCACTGAGTTTGTAAGCTTCGAAGTGTTCTAAACGAAGCACCACATGCACAAAGAAGGCGACAATTTTTGCTGTGACTGTGTAGATCATATTGATGGTTCACATATGCTGAGAGTATGTTGAAACTGACTTGACAAATGAAACACTGCATTGTTAATCTAAACATTAAATCAAATTACTTTTTCTTTTTTAGATGAAAGTTGTATTCGAACATCAAGGTCGTAAAACGACTATACTCGGAAATAATTATGTTACAATCGTCGACCAAATTAGATTATTGTTTCCCGATCAAAATCATCTTCGAATGCAGTTTTACGATTCTGAATTATCCGATTATTTTGAATTCACTTCATATGAACAAGTCATTGATCAACCAAATGGACTAAAAATGAGTTTTGACGTATCTAGTACATCAGATTCATCTGTACCTGATCCGTCTTCATCATCAACAATTAATGATAATCAAGATAATAGAAAAAATACAAATTTTATTAAAAGTACTCCAAAAAGATCTCGAAAAAAACCTTTAATTGAACCTGATGTACTGTCTTTAATGAATGATATCAATTATTTGTATTTATTATTACTTCTGTTTTAGCATGAAAACTATGAACCACCATCATTACCAATGTATTGCAATGCGATCGTTCAAGGTTTAGTCTCGAGTTGAATTGAATCGTAATCAATATTTTTTCTTTATGTCTCTATTGTAGAATCTTTTCCAGCTATTCAACAAGAATTTTTACGACGAACATGTGCTCATTTTATTCAGCAGTATCCTGATTGTATTTCACGAAAAATTCACCATTCATTCGTTCTAGCTCTCACGCAGAAGTTTCCATCATTAAATTATTTAAACAAAAATGTCGACGGGATTGACAGGAGAGCACCATATGTAAGTTTATTCGAAATATCCTACAAAATTACAAAGAAAATTCTCATATAACAAATATTTTCTTCAACTGATAGCATACAATATCTCGTCTAATTTCTCGAAAGAAACGAAATATTAAATATACGAAAAATCATCCAACACCTAAACGATCGCGATTATGTACACTCGACACAAGTTCAAATGAGAAAACAAATGAAAACATAGCCATTGAAGATACAACAGCTGAAGATACAACAGTTGAAGGCAAAGCGCATAATCTGGTGGTCGAATATAATAAAAGTAGTAATTTGCATGGATGAATGTAACAAATATAAAAATATGATTTCTATTGATAGGTTTGTGCAATAAAAGCTCGATCGAACAATTATTGAATGAATCAAATGTAAACGAAACATTAGCTTCATTACCTGATCCATGTGGTGAATATTTTGAATCAGAACAAAGCATGTTTTATTTGTCCTAATTTCGACTTCATGCATTTTCATTTAGAAAAATCTACTGTAACTGTTCCACCGGCAAAGACACCAACTAGACCATCAACAATATCGAACAATATTAGACGAGCAACAATCTCCTTGGTAACTCCATCAACTGAATCAAGTTCCTCAGCTGCATCAACTTCATCATTCATTAATACTTCATTTATTTCAACTAAACCGACGATGATAAGGCCAATCACCACTACAAATGCACCAACAAATATTATTTATCATAGTGGTCGTATACACGTCAATTAATGTAAGTTGTTTGACTTTAAGAAAAGTATAGACAATGTATTTCACAGAGAAAGCAAGGAGATGAATCATCAACTCCTTTAGTCACAAAATTATATAGTTTCTTTTTCTTTTGATGTCAGATCATTTAAGTGCAGTCCGTACAAATCATGGCATAAAACAATAGTCGTCGAATTACATTCTAAAGAATGTAGTTTCATGGCTTGTGCGTTCTGTTTTGATGATTCACTTTATATACGTCACACATCAGTAGAAAAGTGGCCAGTTTCATTCTACAGAATGAAAAATGACGACCCAAACGAATTTGAAAATAATTCAAAACTTTTATATGTTACAAAATAGAATTATTTGAAGAATCTGTCACAGTCTACCATGCACTAGAAACAATTACAAGAGGTTCCAAAGAGTTAATAAAGATTACTAGAAACTAGAAGATACTACTAAGAATTACTAAGGACTGTTAGAGACTACTATAGACTACTTGCGATTATTAAGGAATGTCAGAAACACTAGAGACTACCAGAGACCACTATAGATTACTAGGAACTGGCAGATGCTACCAAAGACTATTAGAGACTACCAGAGATTATTAAAAGTCTGTACTTGAAGTCAAGATTTTCTATAGCAATCTTATATCACTCGAAACATTTGCATTTCATTGTTTTTATGTTTATATTTTAGTTCCATTGTAATCTGTAGTGTCTGTTCATGAAGCTATCATGCCACGAGGATGCCAGAAACAACAAGGTATGTCTTTTTATCTTTTAAAATAACTTAATCTTCGTTGTTGTTTTTAGAAAAGAAAGAAAATAATAATTGTACGTGTACAGAAATATCAAGAATAACAGATCCACAAAAAAATATTTTGATTGGCAAGTTATATATCTTCTTTCACATAATATTTATTTATATTTTAGAATCTACTACCGATAATGTTAATCAATCATGTATTACGAAGAATAATTCGGAGATTTAGTATCCAAAAATGTCAAGTTCTGAAAAAAGTGCCTATGAAAAAGATGTTGCTCGTCTTCGTTCCATCATCAAACCCAAGAACAAATCAACAAACAATTGCTCCATCAGTGAAATTCATACACTTATACGAAGCACTCATAAACATCGGCGTCAAATGTTATTCGAAAAAAATAACAATGATTTTTATATGAAGGCTCTCGAATTTCAAGAAATCTTTCACGAAGATACCGTGCGTAAGGTTTTCTCTTTTACTAGTTTTCAGTTCTATCGTTGCTTCTTATGCTTTGTGTTCGATAGTTTTTAGAATTCAACATCATGACTGGATTTATTTATTGAAAAAATTCATATCTCTTTTTTTCTAGCTGATCATTGAATATCTGCTATTAAAAGATAAAATATTTTCATTCGAAGAAATGCAACATGAAACTCGTAAAGTACTGGATGATTTTATTTCTAAATATAAAATAGAAAAACAAGAAAAGTATGTATTCTGTGAAGATTTATCTTTTATCTTTGTCCGTTTCTTTCGTAGATAAGTGAAATTGATTTTCTAATTGTCAAAATGTTATGTGAAGAATCTGGTCAACACAATTTGATTTTCAAAGTAAAGCTTTTCTTTTATTCATCATGTCTTGCTTTTGTCTATTTATTTAGAACGGACTATCTAATCCACATCCAATGATTGGAGTTCTCATTACATCATCATTGACAAATGAATTCGAACGAGCATTTTTATTCGTGCGAAACATACCCTACAAGATGTCTTTATCAATTACAAATGCTGGTTTGCATAAGGTTCTTTCGATTTTTATGATGATATATATTAACTTAAATGCTCTACCCGATCATACAGTATTACGAACGATACTTGAACAATGTAACAAAATGAAACCTTAAAATATGGTGGTACAGTTTTTCTATGTACATATGAAACATTGGTCGTTTTCTAATTGATTAAATTCATGTTATGTACTTTCATGTATTTCTTCTGTGTATTTGGTATTTTTGCCATTCTTGAACCAAGTATGATTCATGTATCAAATATTATATATTCAATTCAGATATGAAATATAATTTATTTATTTCATCTTTTCTTCGTATCTTTATTGAAATAAGTTTTTTTTTTGTAGATAATATTAATATCATGGATATTTGCATCGCTGAAAATTCGTTGTTGAATATTAATTCTTCTGCAAATGTTTCAAATTAGGAAAATAGTGATCGAATTGAGTTGAGCAATTTTTCTCTTTACACGAGCATTTTTTTTAGTTGAATCTTCAATTTCTGGTTCCCTTTTTGCATTAGTTTTTCGTAAACCTTTCTGCTGATCTGAGGCCTATAGGTTCCAGAAATGAATGACTTAAGAGTTAAAAGGAATTCTTCGCTGAGCAAAGTATTAGAAAAAAAATGCAGATTTTATACTATCGTAATGAAACATTTTCACGTGTGATTTAATCTTTAAAGTGTTTTTTTACGATTAAATTACACTTGATAATGTTTCATTCTGGTAGATTAAAAATTCACATTTTTTTTCTAAAAATTTACTCAGTGAAAAATTTCTTTTCATTTTTAATTCATTTATTTCTAGGATCTATAGATCTCAGATCAGCTGAAGTGTCTAGAAAAGATGAAAGCAAGACACTTCTCCGATAGGAACAGATCAACCAACCGGAAGCGAGTAAGACGCTCGAGTGTCTAAAATCGGTCATCCGTTGACATTTGAAGCGTCTAAAGTAGAGTTATATCAGTCAATCAGAATTAGTTCGAAGTGTCTTGTATAAGCGAATGAGCTGTCTTGTTAATACACTTCACGTGTCTTATTTTTTTACAGTGAGTTTAGTTTATTTCAACTCATCGTCATCCTCATTAGGCTTATTTTATACGACCAACCAATAATACTCAACCAAAAAAAAAGAAAAACGACATCTGTTGAGAATAAGAAAAAGAAATGTGAGTCATAAACGTTCGATGAAAGGAAGAAAAAGAACAACAATAACATTTGTGCCGTATTTTTTTTTCTATATTTTTTCTTCTAGGTCATCATCTGCATCTAATTCTCTTGTTATTAGTCAAGGTAAATCAAAAGAGGCTTTGGATTCACTTCATATTTCTCAAGTAAGAATTATCAAATAGAATTTTTTTCTATAATTTATATTTTATTTTAGCGTAGTATTAAAGTCGGAAATATTTCTCAAGATTTATCTATTCAACAATTGGAGAATTTATTTACTGATAATCGAATTGAAGGAATTGAAAGTATTCATATTCCAATGGATAATCTGGGTTTTCAATTTGGTTTTTTATTCATTACATTTAATTCAAGTCAATATTTTGAAGATTTTTGTTCAAAAATTGATGATAATAGTAAATTTTTATATATTACGTACGTAATATATATCTCAAGTTTTGAATCAAAAATCAATATATATTTTTTTCTTTTAGAGGAAGAAAATACAACGGTCCTTTCATTGTTGAACCACATGAGCTACCAGATTNGATGGTGATATAACTGATATATACGAAGCAGGTGGTGATGATTGATTATCGAAATATGATCACCGTTATCTCAGATTCTAAAAATACGAGTTACTTTATTATCATATTACAATTAACGTATTTGTTTCCTCTTTTTCAATCGTGATTTATATAAATTATAGCTTCCTTCCGATTAAATGGAAATCTGTTGAAAATTATTAAAGATGTAAGACGATACATTGATCATTAGTAGTGACTCAGTTTATCGCCATTTTTCTTCTGTTGTTGTCGTTATCGATTGAAAATTTTCGATGTTTTTTTTTCGCTCTAAAGCTTTCCTAGCTTCGAAAAGTTTTAAAATGGATAAGAAAGATAATAATGATCGAACATTTATTGCTAAGAAACAAGAAAAATACGTCCTTGAAAACTAATATTAAATGTCTCGAATATTCAAATATTTACGATGCATTTTTATGTCGTGGTGGCCCAGCCAATTGACTTATGGCTCTGTACATTATCACAAGTTATTTATAGAAGTCTACATAAATTGAATAAATCTAGAAAGAAAAACTAATCGACGTGCTCCTTAGACTTTTTCTGTGCTGAAATATTTATATAATTATTGGAGAGTGCGATCGTTTGTGTACAAATATCATCGGCGAACAACTGTGATTTTTGACAGAATGGTAGCTACGTGTTCCAGTAGGTATTGTTCTAATATAGATTGCGTCTGTATATTCTTTGATTGACAATAGTCTGAATTCAGCTTTAACCATAAGCTTTATATATATTATATCAAATGTTAATTATTTCGTCATGCTTACCGTACATATTAGAAAACAATTAAGCTGATTGAATTAAATTTCATGTGCTATTGTTTTCATACATAATTAAAACTAAGGTCAAATTAGTTGTCTTAAGCTCATTCATTTTAATGAATTGTTTCATAATAATGTGAATTTATTGAACTATTTCGTGCTGGTGACACTTCATAGAGTACAGATGTACTGTCTGTCGTACTTACCGGACCAGTGTAAAATGATGGTTGTTCAATAAATTTAATTGATGGCGTCATTGGAATCTCTTTAGTGTTTTTATATTTTCGTCTTAAATAAAACCAAATAATAAAAACACCGATTAAAGCAACTGTAAGAATTCCACAAAGAGAACCAACAATAGGAACAACCAGATTTGGATGTAATCGACAATCATCTCCCTAACAAGCTTCTACAAACAACTTTTTCCTTTTTCAACAGGGAAATATGTTCTTGCCAGGTACAGTACCAAGTGGTGGATCAAATTCTGGCGCTTCTGCTGATTTTAATGTTGTTGGTGGTTTATCTGGAGATGAAGAAAGTTTACCTGTTATCGGAGAAATATAGAATTAATACTTCATTTATTTTTATTTTCTTACTAAAAACTTTCATGAAACACAGTACTAAGATACCGACGCATGACATAAACATGGTGAAAGTATATTTTACTGGAAAATGAATGTTATCAAAAGGAGAGGGAGTTCTCTATTCATTATACATTTATTTGATTATCGAACAATAGCATACCTTTACATTATTTCTTTTTTTTCGAGTACACTTCATATACTGACAAAAACTGTAGGGTCTGATGTTACTTGTAATATTTTATGTATTACCTCAGGAAATCAACATCAATCATTTTGTTTGTGCTGTTATCTATCAATTCTACGTCGAATTTTTGTTTAATCAACTATATTTCTATGTGTATAATACAAACTGCATCTGGAGTATAATCTACAAAATGTCAGTTTCATCATACGGAACTGATTAACTTCTCGACAAAATTTATCCAACGTAAAGTAACTTTTTATTGAATAGAAGTCCAGGAATGCATTTAGATGATTAGAAAGCACACTCTTAAAAATAAGACGTATAATGTTACTCCTAGGCACATTTTAGGAATGAAAATATCCTATTAAATAATCAATCATCTCATTTTTTTTTAAAAAAGCAACCTATTTTATGAATTAGGAAAACTTTTAAGTCGTTTTTTATCTCCAACAGAGTGTGCATCACACCGTAGGGCCATTGGCGTGTAACCTCGTACACCACATCAATTAAATTTCAATTATTAATTCCATATCTTTTTGATAAATTGTCGTACGATTTTGCATTATCTTGGACAAGTTCCAAGCTGGTACAACTAATATATAGGGGAAAGAATATTTTAAGATAAGCCAAAAATAATTTCTAACTGACCGCTCTCTGCATTCACTTAAAGGAATAGTTGAAAAATCATAGCAAATATCCTCTTTCAGATGGTCGTGTTCAATGTCATACAGATGGTAAAAATGAGTGGCCGATACGCTTTTCTTAAATCCATTTAAGGACATTTGAGTTGGATAATCACCAAGTGATATGAATAAACCACCAAAATAGGTGACATCGTTACCATTTATATTAATGGTGATAGATAAATGCGATTATATGGAAAGATATTTTATTTAAGTATTTAGTGATTACTCTACCTGTAGTAGAAAGCGTATTCATGCCCACGAGAAAGTCATCAACAGTATGACACAACGAATTGTATTTTCGTGTCCATCTTGGACAAGCTGCTATGAGTCGTTTCGCCGATTGTTTTGAGCGTTTATCTCTAGAAACATTCAGCAAGAATCAGTAGAAGAAAACATAGAATGAGCATGATGAGATATGGGATTAGTCATTGTTAAATCATCAGAATTTATTTCAATTTTGAGATGAGTTGAATTTCGAAAATTCGGGTGACTTCTTGCAAAAGCACCATCACGAAAATCTTGGATACAGTCAGGATTACAATCAGGTGTTGCACGTTGTAAATCAGCTTGAACTTCCGGTAGATGAAGATATTTTTCAAGACTGCTTAAAAGAGGCATGAATGAATACTTGACTTTCTTAATTTCTTTTTATCTGTGATCGTCTGTAATTAAAAGAAAGAAAGGATATGAGTTTTTATTATTTTCAATTTTTTTTGAAACTAGACAGCTATCGTCATACTGTCCTTTAAGATATACCTGATATGATCAACTGACGGGTTCAATGTATTGAAAATACTTGATGGCTTTTTTCTTTCGAATGTGCATTGATTTGAGTGATTCTATACGGGCAGCTAGAGCATTGATATTCTATACTTATAAAGATGTAAAATCCATGAGCTCAATTATGTTTAAATTGCAAACCAGATTATTCATCGAAATATGGAGAAAAGTTTCTCTAAGATTTGTAGCAACATATTCTATGAGTGTGGGTGTGAGTGTCGATGTTACTCACAGCACCCACACCCACCCGCCACACTCAGACCCAACCACCGCCCACGCACTACAACCACGTCCACGCCCTGGTTTACATTTAAACGATTAACAAAGAAACAAATGTCATTTGACATTTTGTGTAAGTGTGGGTGGGTGATGGTCTGGCTTTAAATCAAGGAAAGCTACACTAAAACTCACAGCCACACCTACATCCAAACACCCATACTCACCCAAAATCACATCCACCCAAACCCTGACCTATCCACACCGCTCACTCAGGACTACACCAACATCAACATTCAATCTTATCCACACCCCGAGTTAGTTGTTATTTAGTTTATCCAGTTCATTAGTTTATCATAAAAACGGAACAACGTGCAAAAAAAGCATAAAACTATTATTTGTTTTATTTTACAGCTTGTTCATTGTCCTCTAAGCCTTCAGTTATTGTTGATATTCGATTATCTTTATAAAGTTCTTTTGCTACGTCTTCATCAATTTCGTTGGTCACTTTTTCCAATCCTAAATTTTGACATACTTTTGAACAGACATGTATACGAAAGAATTCTCTCATACCTTTCACACCAAGGTTAGTTCTGGCTTCTCTACAACGTCTTACGTCATCAAAATGTATTGCTGGATCTGTTAGTAAATATTTATTATCTTCCGACGATTTGACACCTTGAAAATCAACTACCATCATACGACCAGCTGTTTGATGAAATGTCCAATGTGAAAAAGCTTGCAGTACTGTCGAATAATCTACAAATTTGAACACCTCCACAATTATTATTCCATTTTCGAATTGTTTGATTTAGCTGTCGCTCCATTTAATAAATTTTTGTTTGATCTTGTATCTGCTGTACAACATCAGCATCAGCATAGACGACTTCTATAGGATTTCGAAAAACTTTTTTTTGAGCTTAATTGAAAATATCAGCGAGAAATTGTGCAATGGTATGAATTTATAAATGCTGCTTGTACACTGTCAGTGTATTATATATTGGATCAGCACTAATCAATTCTTTATACACGACATCTACCATATGAGAACCATCGCTAGCTAGTTTTCCATAATATGCATTTCTTAAACTTCCTTTTGCGAATGAATCAGTCACAATTTGCATTTTCCCCTGTCCTGTGCCTACAAATAGTGGCCGAAATAATTCTTCTATAGTTTTTGATAATATAAATTCAGTTATTAATATTGGATATACATTCATCGCATCCCAAGCAGGTTCTATATTACTAAGACTATAAATTTTGCGTTGTTCAGTTGTTTTAAAAATTGACATTGTTTTATTAATAGTCGTCATAATGGTATTTGTTGCAGCTTTTGAAACACTTTTGATCAGACCATTCAGATTCTGAACATTAAGCTGAAAGATTGAACCGTATATAATCTGAAATTCTGCAAACATTTTTTCAGTATATTCATTTAACTGAATCGAAAAATGCTGAATATTTTGACGCTTGATTTCTAACAAGAGTTTACAAACATCTCAGTTGTTTGGATCGCCGTTTGGATAATGATCCCACATATTAACGGATGCATAACGTGTGTCTTGTTCATCATAGTAGTTTTTACCGTGGCAAGGTGCATCACACACATGGATAAGAATTCGGTTTGGATTAGATCATTCAAGAGTTCTAACTATTTCTAAAGCACCTATCATAAAAATAGAACAAATTATATTTATTGTAACTGAAGACAAATATTATTTATTTAAATCGAATATACATCAGATGATAGTTAACAAATACATGTTTTTCAAAAAGCAGCAATGAAAATAATACTTTCTCTTACCGATAACGTCTTCTCTCCATGATCGACATCACGATAACTAATAAAAGCCAGACGTGTTGCCGTTCTAAATAATGCAGTTAATGCTTTTGTCAAATTGATGATGGCATTTTTGGCTGCTACTACGTATGGTTCCATACTACCTGTACAATTCATGATGAAACATACGGCTGCGGTTGATTGAGCTTTAATGACTTTTAATACCTGATCAATCTCATACTTTCGTTTCTCAGTATCTTTTTGACATTCGTTGAGTAGACGTCGTCCTTCTTGTGTATTCAACTTTGATGTCCACTCTTTTATTTTAATCATTCTCTCTTTTGTTGCAAGAACTGCTTGTTTCATTGATGAATTATTCGGATCTGCTCGTAGATGTCGCATTTTATCTTGATAATCGGCAGTAAGACGTTTGAATTCTGCATCTAAAGCATCGATATCAAGGTCATATAAATCAGACGTGTATGAAGACTGGTTGAATGGTGGTTGTGATTGGGAATCAGCAAAAGTCACTGAAACATATTGCTTGCACTCTTTCAAACGAATCGAATCGACACTATCGTGCACTGCTTTAGATGACATTTCGATATTTGATTAAACTGTAATATTGTTGTTTGTGCGACTATGTTAGAAGGGTGTGGGTGTGGGTGTGGGTGTGGGTGTGGGGTGTGGGTGGAGACTGTGACTGTGGGTCTGAATATCCTCGTCACCCACACACCCCGTATTCACACCCACAGTCTGTTTCTAGAGCGAACAAATTCTTAATGTTTAACTACGGGCAATATGAATGACACAGTCGAGATGAACACTGAACTGAAAGTAATTCATGTCCAACCAAAACATGCTACTTACGCATGATACTATTCCCATAGAGGCTGAATAACACATTTATTGCTGTAAATAGGTATAGCAATAGGAATAATAAAATAAATAATGAAAAATGAATATAATGAACAAGCATTTGTAAACTGTTCAAAAAATGTATGAGCATAGTGTATGTATTTTTTCTGATATTCTTTTGCCCTCATCGTCCGAGTGATCATTCGCAGAGACAGAAATGCACTGGTTGAATTTCATCTACATAATAGCCAACATTTTTCCCGGTGCTTCATATATCTAAATGCACTGATGATATATTTATGACCATCAATCAAACGATCGATGAAATTACAAAAAGAGCTCTCAAAAGCAGCAAGTAAATATGTTAATATTAAAATGAAACATAGCATAAGTATATCAGTTGGCTTTCTTGATATGACTATAACCAATGGAAATGGACCATTAGGAACATCTATTTATCATAAACAAACTGCTGAACCTCATATTTTGTCTAATACATCGGATCATTACCACATCATATTCATCGTAATATTCTATATGCAGCATTATTATGTGCTGCGCGTATTTGTTCACATATTGATGGTTTTAATTCAGAGCTTATTCATATTAATATATTATTATTATTAAATCAATATCCCCCCAATTTTACTACGAAATATTTCAATCGATTATTTCGATTAAATAATGCTGTGTCTGTTTTAGAAAAATTAGATGAGCAAGAGTGTATCAACGATTACATAAAAAAGTACTTCATCAACTTACACAACGTGAAAAAAACTTAAAAATCATGATGCATGATCCAGTAAAACCTCCTGAAGTTTTACAAACTAAGATATGGTATCCATAAGTCATGTATCAACGTTATGTATTCAACAGTGGTTTAACAATAAATTTACCTGAGGAATTCTACCGATGGTGAAAAAAGTATTGTGTCTACCATGAATTCAGTATCAATAATATTAAAATTAGATTAGTTTCGAAAACAAATAGTACACTCTAACATGTCTTTACTCATAAGAAGCCTCCAGGGGAAATGTTAACAAGAATGAAGCCATCTACTGCATAACTTCAAAAAAAAATGATATATTATTCTTTCTCTTCGTCATTCACGATAAGAAATTTGTTTGTTTGTTTGTTTCTTTCTTTTTTATGCTATTCAATTTCTATCGTATTTTATCTTATCTAGTCGAGCATCTATACATATTTACGTTATTTTATTCGTTTTATTTGTTCATTCATTTATTCTAGATAAATTATTCTGATCTTCGATACATACAACCAACATTGATATAATCTTCTTTTCAACAACAACCTAGTATAAACTCATAAACTGACTGCATCCGCTACATCTCTGTAAATTACTCTACGAATCTCATTTTGATTTCAGGTTTATCGCTCAAATAACACTAGAAACATGTCGTATGACTTGTTTTGAAATAATTTCTTCTCTACAAAACTCACGTATGTTTAGACGAGAGATGCTTTCTTCTTTAATAATACAAAATGTCTGATTTTAGACTCATCGTCACAAATGAACCATATTATTATCTATATTTTATATATTTAAGTAATATATATATTAGAGTTGCAATGATCTTAAATGGCTGAACAAAGCAATGATTCTACTGGAAAAGTGTGTCATCGTCTGGTGACGAACTAGAAAGAGGAAGTCATTATTTCTTTGTTGAACTCGAATGCAAGGATAAGGATATTAATAGAAGCAATTAGTCTTCGTCCGATGATGATGATGATGATGTTGGTGAGATAAATTGTCCTTGTAAAGAGTTGAAAAACTCAACGATCTTGACTGTAATAATCTTCCCAATTTCATCCGTCATGCCAATGAGTAATCAAAGAATCGATATGATTGTGAAAAAGTGTGTTATTATCGACATAAATTTTTCTTGAGTCGACGTCAATTAGCGCAGCCATCTTATCGTACGAACAGCTTATAAAGAAAACGGATTTCATTTAGATTCAACGCATGCATTTTATTAAAAAGTGCATAAATTTATGACACAAACAAACACGTATTTATTGTTTCATAAACTCAGTTAGTCATATTCGAATGAGAGTCAAAGTCGTTTAGCTAAGATTGTTGAGCAAGTACAAACAACACTGGACACTTGATTTCGTTCTAACTCTATTACTGAAGCACAATATAGACACATGAATATCAATCGCGATCATCAGTACGAATCAATTATTTATACACATATGAAAGAATACCATTGCGATAAATTATGGTGTGTAATGATGGATCTACAACGGATATCAGTCGTTTTCTTGACCCTTTCTTGGTGCACTCTTTAATTAGGCGACTTATTGTAGAAAATTTAAGAACTCTGTCCATCTTATAGATGCTTTGGAATATTATCAGAAAAATGGTCAACTTCACCCGACCACTTTGTTTGCTTCGTTTAATATTGATGATTTATATATAAGGTTTTCACTTTAAGAAGCTGTTAATGCTTTAGAACGTTTTCTTAATTATTACATATCAGATCAACATATTCAAGGTGTGACAATTGATCCTATTCTTCAACTTGTATGCCTCGTTCTGGAAAATCAATAGTTTTTCACAATTACAAATTACATCGACAAATTATTGGTAGTGCTTCTGGTTTCTCGTTCACTATTCCATTAGTCTATATCTATTTATTCTATTTACAAAAAGATTTAATGAATGATTTCGTTAATAACAATGAGCTTTTTGTCAGTTATATTCTAGTGAGATAATGATACGATAAAAATGATTCTATTTTTATTTGACATGTAGATATCAAGACGAGACATTTATCACATGGAATATATCTGAAGATCAACTTCGTACATTACTTGCTATAGCTAATTCACAATTTCCTCCATTGATGTGGAACACAACTAACACTGGATCAACGATTCATTTTCGTGATATCAAACTCTTCGTCGTATATGCACTATTCAATCAATCTAATTATGAAATGTTTCGTGAACATATTTTCAATTACGATAAATATCGCACAACAAGGAAAAAAGACAACGAAAATCATAAAAAGAACAAAATGAGATCATATCGCGTTTCCCATGCATATCTGGTTGAGATGAAACCGTTATGAGTAAGATTCAAGAGGAACCAATCAATCTCTGGAAGGAATATTTAGGGGATCATCCACGAATGAAAGATTTTTTGGATCAAAAATCTCACATTATCATTGTTCCTCGTTGCCATTCAATAATCTTTTCATGGAGAAACGACCACATTTTTCTCATTTGACATCGTCACATCATGAGAAACACAAATAGCGTACGTACTGTTTACCAATGATTTCATGTCTTTTATCATTGTATTCTCTTTTTATTTCAGATAGGGGTGTTGGGGGTCTCTGTTCCCTAAGGTTCCGTTCTCGAGGAATAGAACCCACTCGAAAATTTGTTTCCATGCGTTTTTGATTATATTGAGACTTATGGACGTGCTTATTCTTCAATCTGTATCAAGTTGGTATGGGCTCTCGGATTCTCAAGAACGGAACCCGCACCGAGTTTCGAGTTTCCGGAACTTGAACCAGAAATTGACGTTCCTAATGAAGATTGTCTGAGAAACAGTTGAAACGCGTCGTATGATACTTCGAATCTACTTGTTTTAATAAAATCTTCAAGGGGGAAACAGCAGAGACTTTGGTCATGAAGTCCCGTGAAGTCTTGAAAGTCTTTTAAAATTTTCTGAAGTCTTCTGAAGTCTCCTGAAGTCTCGTGAAGTCTCGTGAAGTCTTATGAAGTCTCATTAAATCTTATGAAGTCTCCTGAAGTCTCCTGAAGTCTTTTGAAGTCTTGAAGTCAGCTATTTTCCCCTTGAATTATAGTCTATATGAGTGCATCGGCGAGATTTTTTTATCGTATACATAATTGAATGTACTCCCTCTAATGAAACTATTTGCAACTTAAAATTCGCTGTATAGTAAAGCATTTTTGCTCAAATACTACTCTTCGGACCCAATTTGTGTGATTTTTCACTAATCTTCGACAATTTTCGAATAGATTATTCCACATTTAGTCTCAAACAGATATTAAATTTGAAATTCGCATAAAAAAATCTANTATGTTACAATCGTCGACAAAATTAGATTATTGTTTCCCGATCAAAATCATCTTCGAATACAGTTTTACGATCCTGAATTATCCGATTATTTTGAATTCACTTCATATGAACAAGTCATTGATCAACCAAATGGACTAAAAATGAGTTTTGACGTATCTAGTACATCAGATTCATCTGTACCTGATCCGTCTTCACCATCAACAATTAATGATAATCAAGATAATAGAAAAAATACAAATTTTATTAAAAGTACTCCAAAAAGATCTCGAAAAAAACCATTAATTGAACCTGATGTACTGTCCTTAATGAATGATATCAATTATTTGTATTTATTATTACTTCTGTTTTAGCATGAAAACTATGAACCACCATCATTAACAATTTATTGCAATGCGATCGTTCAAGGTTTACAGTCTCGAGGTGAATCGAATCGTAATCAATATTTTTTCTTTATGTCTCTGTTGTAGAATCTTTTCCAGCTATTCAACAAGAATTTTTACGACAAACATGTGCTCATTTTATGCAACAGTATCCTGATTGTATTTCATGAAAAATTCACCATTCATTCGTTCTAGCTCTCACGCAGAAGTTTCCATCATTAAATTATTTAAACAAAAATGTCGACGGAATTGACGGGAGAACACCATATGTAAGGTTATTCGAAATATCCTACAAAATTACAAAGAAAATTCTCATATAACAAATATTTTCATCAACTGATAGCATACAATATCTCGTCTAATTTCTCGAAAGAAACGAAATATTAAATATATAAAAAATCATCCAACACCTAAACGATCGCGATTATGTAAACTCGACACAAGTTCAAATGAGAAAACAAATGAAAACGTAGCCATTAAAGATACAACAGTTGAAGAAAAAGCGCATAATCTGGTGGTCGAATGTAATAAAAATAGTAATTTGCATGGATGAATGTAACAAATATAAAAAATATGATTTCTATTGATAGGTTTGTGCAATAAAAGCTCGATCGAACAATTATTGAATGAATCAAATGTAAACGAAACATTAGCTTCATTACCTGATCCATGTGGTGAATATTTTGAATCAGAACAAAGCATGTTTTATTTGTCCTAATTTCGACTTCATGCATTTTCATTTAGAAAAATCTACTGTAACTGTCCCATCGGCAAAGACACCAACTAGACCATCAACAATATCGAACAATATTAGACGAGCAACAATCTCCTTGGTAACTCCATCAACTGAATCAAGTTCCTCAGCTGCATCAACTTCATCATTTATTAATACTCCATTTATTTCAACTAAACCGACGATGATAAGGCCAATCACCACTACAAATGCACCAACAAATATTATTTATCATAGTGGTCGTATACACGTCAATTCATGTAAGTTGTTTAACTTTAAGAAAAGTATAGACAATGTATTTGACAGAGAAAGCAAGGAGATGAATCATCAACTCCTTTAGTCACAAAATTATATAGTTTCTTTTTCTTCTCTTGCCAGATCATTTAAGTGCAGTCCGTACATATCATGGCATAAAACAATAGTCGTCGAATTACATTCTAAAGAATGTAGTTTCATGGCTTGTTCGTTCTGTTTTGATGATTCACTTTGTATACGTCACACATAAGTAGAAAAGTGGCCCGTTTCACTCTACAGAATGAAAAGTGACGACCTAAACGAATTTCAAAATAATTCAAAACTTTTATATGTTACAAAATAGAATTATTTGAAGAATCTGTCACAGTCTACCATGCACTAGAAACGATTACAAGAGGTTCCAAAGAGTTAATAAAGATTACTAGAAACTAGAAGATACTACTAAGAATTACTAAGGACTGTTAGAGACTACTATAGACTACTTGTGATTATTAAGGAATGTCAGAAACACTAGAGACTACCAGAGGCCATTATAGATTGCTATGAACTAGCAGATGCTACCAAAGACTATTAGAGACTACCAGAGATTATTAAAAGTCTGTACTTGAAGTCAAGATTTTCTATAGCAATCTTATATCACTCGAAACATTTGTATTTCATTGTTTTTATGTTTATATTTTAGTTCCATTGCAATCTGTAGTGTCTGTTCATAAAGCTATCATGCCACGAGGATGCCAGAAACAACAAGGTATGTCTTTTTATCTTTTAAAATAACTTAATCTTCGTTGTTGTTTTTAGAAAAGAAAGAAAATAATAATTGTACGCGTACAGAAATATCAAGAACAACAGATCCACAAAAAAATATTTTGATTGGCAAGTTATATATCTTCTTTCACATATTATTTATTTATATTCTAGAATCTACTATCGATAATGTTAATCAATCATGTATTACGAAGAATAATTCGGAGATTTGGTATCCAAAAATGTCAAGTTCTGAAAAAAGTGNAATTGTACGTGTACAGAAATATCAAGAATAACAGATCCACAAAAAAATATTTTGATTGGCAAGTTATATATCTTCTTTCACATAATATTTATTTATATTCTAGAATCTACTATCGATAATGTTAATCAATCATGTATTACGAAGAATAATTCGGAGATTTGGTATCCAAAAATGTCAAGTTCTGAAAAAAGTGCCTATGGAAAAGATGTTGCTCGTCTTCGTTCCATCATCAAACCCAAGAACAAATCAACAAACAATTGCTCCATCATTGAAATTCATACACTTATACGAAGCACTCATAAACATCGGCGCCAAATGTTATTCGAAAAAAATAACAATGATTTTTATATGAAGGCTCTCCAATTTCAAGAAACCTTTCACGAAGATGCCGTGCATAAGATTTTCTCTTTTACTAGTTTTCAGTTCTATCGTTGCTTCTTATGCTTTGTGTTCGGTAGTTTTTAGAATACAACATCATGACTGGATTTATTTATTGAAAAAATTCATATCTCTTTTTTTTCTAGCTGATCATTGAATATATGCTATTAAAAGATAAATATTTTCATTCGAAGAAATGCAACATGAAACTCGTAAAGTACTGGATGGTTTTATTTCTAAATATAAAATAGAAAAATAAGAAAAAGTATGTATTCTGTGAAGATTTATCTTTTATCTTTGTCCGTTTCTTTCGTAGATAAGTGAAACTGATTTTCTAATTGTCAAAATGTTATGTGAAGAATCTGGTGAACACAATTTGATTTTCAAAGTAAAGGTTTTCTTTTATTCATCCTGTCTTGCTTTTGTCTATTTATTTAGAACGGACTATCTAATCCACATCCAATGATTGGAGTTCTCATTACATCATCATTGACAAATGAATTCGAACAAGCATTTTTATTCCTGCGAAACATACCCTACAAGATGCCTTTATCAATTACAAATGCTGGTTTACATAAGGTTCTTTCGATTCTTATGAGGATATATATTAACTTAAATGCTCTACCCTATCATACGGTATTACGAATGTTACTTGAACAATGTAACAAAATGAAACCTTAAAATATGGTGGTACAGTTTTTCTATGTACATATTAAACATTCGTCGTTTTCTAATTGATTAAATTCATGTTATGTACTTTCATGTATTTTTTCTGTGTATTTGGTATTTTTGCCATTCTTGAACCAAGTATGATTCATGTATCGAATATTATATATTCAATTCAGATATGAAATATAATTTATTTATTTGATCTTTTCTTCGTATCTTTATTGAAATAAGTTTTTTTTTTTGTAGATAATATTAATATCATGGATATTTGCATCGCTGAAAATTCATTGTTGAATATTAATTCTTCTGCAAATGTTTCAAATTCGGAAAATAGTGATCGAATTGAGTTGAGCAATTTTTCTCTTTACACGAGCATTTTTTTTAGTTGAACCTTCAGTTTCTGGTTCCCGTTTTGCATTAGTTTTTCGTAGACCTTTCTGCGGATCTGAGACCTATAGGTTCCAGAAATGAATGACTTAAGAGTTAAAAGGAATTCTTCGCTGAGCAAAGTATTAGAAAAAAAAATGTAAATTTCATACTATCGTAATGAAAGATTTTCAAGTATGATTTAATCTTTCAAGTTTTTTTTTACGATTAAATTACACTTGAAAATGTTTCATTCTGGTAGATTAAAAATCCACATTTTTTTTCTAAAAATTTACTCAGTGAAAAATTTCTTTTCATTTTTAATTCATTTATTTCTAGGATCTATAGATCTCAGATCAGCTGAAGTGTCTATAAAAGATGAAAACAAGACACTTCTCCGATAGG